CATCCAAAATTCTCAATCCAACAATCCACGCACATACGCATACTTTCATACAACAATCACATATTCATCATTCCCAATTACACAAGTCATGTACATACACATATGCATGACTTCATACAACAATCATATATGTACATTAACATAAAAATATGCATACATTACGATCTCACCACATTTTATCATAATTCACTCATATACATCGTAATGTAAATATGCACAATTTACATCATTACACGTAAACATACACATTCATGTTCCTTCACCACAATTCATCATGTAGTATATATATAAACATACATATCTATAACATCAAGCATATTTATCATGCATATATCCACAATTCACATCATTCCACGTAAACATTTACAATTATGTTTATTCATCCAATCACAACTCTTATTCAATAATTCATACACATGCATACTTCCATATAACAATGATATATGCCATGTGACTCAATGCAACTCAATGCCATGTGGTACCAACACTTGTTATCATTTTTCAGTTTTTACATTTAAACCGGGTCCGTCCCCTAGACCGATAACAACAGAAGCCCGTCCTCTAAGCTTTCAAACCCACCCTTCTAGGTTTGGGACAAGTCACTAGTCTCCACGAAAATAGCAAGCATTGCCTCTTGACTAAATGATGCGTATGCAATCAACAACCATATGCACTTAAGACCGTTCTCGCATCTTAATCCCATGCATAGTCAAATAATTCATCACACAAGAATTATAATATGATTGCACACTCACACATCATATCAAAGTATTCATACTTTTAACACCATCACATTTATCAAGCAATGCACACATATTCACAATATTTTCCCGTGCATTCTTCACAATATTGCATACAATCAATATGCATTCACAATTCAATACCATCACCGCATTTATCAAGCAATGCACACATATTCACAATATGTTCCCATGCATTCTTCACATACAATCACATAGAAATCATTATGCATTCACATCTTCGTGCAAAACGGCAACAACTTCATCACAAATTATCATGCATTTTTAATCAATTTAAACAATGCATTATATATGCCAAAAGGCCACATTTCACAATCGATTCCATAAACTAGGATTCACGCCATACGGCTACCCACAACATAACATATCATAACAGTATCCAAACTATTCATTTTCGATAAGGATTGAACACAATCGAACCAAATAATCAACATTGGATGGAAACACAAGGAAATGAAGATGCTGTCACACTCACTAGCTTGCTCGCCTAGCGAGTTCCTAGCGAACACTCGCTACCTATTCGCCTAGCGAACAAGCTCGCGAAGGCAAACAAAAGCTACTGTAAGGCTTCGCTACCTACTCACTGGGGCTTCGCTTAGCGAACCTCTCGCTGCCTCGCTCGCTACCAGCGAAGAGGGTCAATTACGTTATGTCCAAGTCTGGGACCATTCGCTACTAGCTCGCTACAACGAACACTCGCGACTTGCTCGCCTAGCGAAGGTGCTAGCGAACGTCTGCGATGTTCAAAACCCCAACTGTCCAAAATCATCAAATCATCACAAAATCAACCGATTCGATTCCAACGAATTCCAGTAGTCTTAGCTTAACATTCCTCAACTAAACTACACCATTTATTCTCAATCTTACCCGTTCAAACATCGGTTCTATCGATTAAACTCGTTTCTGCCCTAAAATGGAAAATGAGTAAAAACTCTCCAACAATCCCAACCAATTCAACAAACACATACATAATCACATACATTGGTAAGATAACAACATTTCACACTCTTACCTTGATTAATCGGAAGCTAGAAGTCGTTCTTGATGATTCTAAGCTTTTCCTCTATTTTCTCATCTTCTCTCTTCTTCCTTCTTTCTTTCTCTTCTTTTTTCCTTTCTCTCTATTTCTATCCTTTTCTTTCCACTTTCTCTTATATATCCTTCTCTTTTATTTCTCCTCAATATATCTCATCTTATCATTAATTAGAGAAGATCTAGTAAATTCACCTTATTCTACCAAATAGAATAAATCAGTTAAATCCATAAACTCATATAAATTAAATAGATCCAATAATTCATTAAATCAATTAATTAGTACAAATAATCAATTATTGAAAATTTGGCTGTTACATAAGTCAGTATTGTAAAAATTCTTATGTTTAAATACACAAACAAGTTTAATCAAGCATTGATTATACTAAAAATATTTTACAAGGAAACGGGACTGAAGTACTCTCAATTGGGAGAGGAACCAATATAAATCTGTTGTGTTCGTGTGCTATTTACTTTGTGTCTGACTTCAGTTCTACTGCATTCATAATCTAGTTCTGAACGTCTATTCAGAATCATATCTCTCTTCTGAACATTGGAAGAAGCGAGAAAGAAATCTGCATTTTTGCCACACACAATTCAACCCCCCTTCTTGTGTATTTTCCCACCTTCAGAATCCATAACTCCTATGAAGCGAATGCTTTAATCATAACAATAGGTTTACTATTATCACCTCAAACATACTACCCTTTCAATGCAACATGAAAAAATTTCATTTACAAATGTATACAATCAACTATATATAACATATCAAGAAATCCACATGCCTCCCCCATCTGCATCATGTGTTCTATGTCTTCAGTGGTTGACCTTCAAAGATATTATGCAACAAATATGCTGATCACACGCCTTCTAAACTTATCAATGCATTTTAAATATGTGGTTTCAAAAACTCTTAAATAGTCACCCCACTATAAAAAATGTTCAAGATGCCAACATACAAATAACAACAATTCATTTTTGTAGAAATGAAATACTCGAGCTACCACTTGCATAAACCCTTTTCCAAAAATAATTAACATGTTGGCCAAAAGCTTCAACAATATGAAGGAACACATTTTTAATTATTTTGTACCATCAAATAAATTGTTCATCTATGTATGTTGGAGCTTTAAAAAAAATCATTGAATAACCTGTCATGTCCTTCTTCACGATTCTCCTATGTGTTCCTTCTTTGATGCATAGGATTACTACAACCTATGATTTCTTATTGTACCTGAATTTCAAAGAAAAGCCTCAAAGGTTCTTCACCCTTGTCATCACTCATATAATCCATGAACATATTTTCAATGTGGGAAATGTTAAAAGGATCCATGCCAAGAGAAATTTGATATTGAATATTGATCTTATTCAGACCGATGTATCAGAATAGTGAGTTGGAAATTGATAATTAACAATGTCTGGTAACACTTAGTATGTGAAAGCTTCTTCTTGATTTTGAGGTATGATGGGTGGGGATGTTACCTGCAGAACACTATGACTTCCATGTAAATAAATGAATAATGCAAAGAGTAATGCTTTTATGTTTTTGAGAGTGTGTACCTTAGTTTTGCGATTGAGAACCTTTATATAGGGATATTATTAAGGTTTTTGATAGTCTCGTTCTTTAGCTTCAATCCTGATCATCCAGGAGGACATATTTCAATATGTAATTCACTATATCATCTAACGACCATGCATTGATTTTCTCTTTGGATTAAGTGCTTTTTTAGAGAAAATATTTGTATGCTTTATTATTGGATTAAGTGCTTTTTTAGAGAAAATATTTGTATGCTTTATTAGCTTTAAATCATTCTGCTTTAGCAATATTATCCTAATATATATTTTACTTTATGCCCCTCTTTATCTTGATGCTACTCTTGTCGTAAAATGACTAAATTAGGCTCCTCTTTAGTAGATTGAGATTGGGGCCGGGGCTGATTTAGGCCAACTATGATTTTAGCTTTTTACCCATTATCATAATGGTTCAACTTCTTTCGTTTCTTAGCCCCGGTAGAAATAATTTCCCATAAGCCCGACTTGATAGTGTCGGGTTTGAGCTCATGTCTCTCTTTGTAGATATGGTTTACAAGTGGCCCTAGTGAAGTTTACCCATCTTTTGGTATTCCCATACCTTTTTGTCAATACATGATGTGACTCTTCAAAATCTATCTCTCTGTTCATCTATCATGTGTAAGCCAAAGCCGAATAATGTGTTGGCATGTTTCTATGCATCTTATGACGAGTTTCTTGAGAACTATCTTTGTTATGATGACTCTGAAAACTCCATTGATTAGATGTACTTTGTTATTGGTTGTGGCTCAATTTTGCACTTATTGCACTTTTGGATTTTGTGGTTTATCCCTTCATTTTCTCCCTCATATGCGTATAAATACTCCAAGGTGTTAAGCTTTTATCTTTTTCTTTTCTGTTGTTGTTTCATCGTTTTTGCAACTACCTTGATACCCTATGCAACATTATACCCATTTATAGGTCATGTGAAACTTAATCACTGACACTTGTACTCGACAATCTCCACCACAAGTGTATCTCTCATAAATCCAATAGTCTACTCATTCATAGTTGATGTGAGACTTAACCACTCACACTTGTCCAATAATCTCCCCTATTAGTATGAGTTTCGACATCCTATAACAAGATCCAATGTAGGATCTAACTGTCACACTCTAAAAAGCCGAAAACTTTGATATCACTTGTTAGATATAGTTTGAGAAGTGTTAGAAGCATCCATGAGTTAAATGTTCATTATCCAAGAGACTTTGACACCATATATCTACCAAGAATCTTAAGACAATATATTTATGAGACATTTTTCTTATAAATCCAATATTTCACTAATTCATAGACGACGAGAGACTTAACAACTCTCCCTTCTATCCAACATGTATTGGTTCTCATCTTTTATCTTAAAGTTGTTATTATGGTTTTGCAATCACATTAATTGATAGACTATTATCGTTTGATAATTTTTAGTGTTTTTGATTTTATTCTTTGTCCCACCCATCATATTTTTTGTGTACTTAAATCCTTTGATTTTCTGAACAATCTTTTATTTAAATGAAACATTTTACAAAGACAAACATTTTACAAGCATTGAGTTGACATTCATCCATTACCAAAACAAAAAAAGTTTATGTGATAAGCAAACACACTCAAACCAAACACACTTCATCCTCATCATCTTTGTTGCTATTCCTTGACAAGATGAGCATCAATATCTTTTGTCACCTTTTCAGCAAAGGCCAAGTATGATTCTGGAGATGCACCAGTAATATCCTCCTTTAACTTCTCATATTCAAAGGTCCATTTCACAATCCCACCACCAAGTTCCTTATCAATCACTTGAAATGTAACCTTTAAACTCTTGTAACTCTCACCCACTTCCCCATCAAAGACACTATATGTGATTACCTTATTCTCATCATCTATAGTCTCTATTTTTTCTTTAGCACTTTGTTTTTTCCCTTCTGCAAGTATTCAAAATCAGAGTTGATTGATTAGGAAAACAAATACACAAATAGAAATCAGAAACAAACAAACACGTGTTAAAATTTAAATAAATACATAAACTGGATTTTTAACTACCTATTGTATATTCCCAGTGTTTGACTGAACCAACATTTTCCCAATCACCTTCATGCACTCTAGCTCCATGTACATCTCGAGATATATTAGGAACATGTTCAAGTTGCTTTCTAAAAATATGGAAGAACTTAGCAGCACTTGCTTCAATCTCAGTTTCACTCTCTACTTTCCCACTTAAAGACAT